CTCTCTCTCTCTCTTTCTCTCTTCATGCCTGAATCATTTCTGCAGTTTGTGTGACCTGCAAAGCACAGTGTGAAAGTAGTGTTTAAAAGAAGATCACAAGCAACTCACTTCTCCTGTTTCGGCTGTAATCTACTTATCAAATACATCTCATCAGTATCATGTTTTATGGCCAAGACAACAGTCACCACCGGTTCCTTTTTTCCATTCAGTCACTTTATGAACAATGTGGCTTTTGTACCGCGCCTACTGTGCTATTATCTTTTTATGAAAATAAGCACAGGGTATTGGACTGTCGTCATCTTTTATATGCCTGTATCGCTCTTTCTCGCATTCTCTCTCTATATAGCTCTTTCTTTCTTCCCCAACCTGGCAAACCTGCCAAGTGAGAGCCACCGTGGATCAGTCAATGGCAGATTTAGATTTGAGTTCTAAGTCTCAGTCCTAGCCAAACCTGTTTCTTCAGGAGGGCTTTGAGTTTTGCGTATATAGTCTGCCATATAGCCTTTTCCCCTCGGTTATCACCTACAGTAGCCCCCCCCCCCACCCCCCCCATAAAACAAAACAAAAACCTTCTTGCTACTATTCCGACTTTACACCCCCCTTTCTAGATCCTTTCTCTACATACACTTCTCCTCAGATGTGCCCACCCCTAAACCCCCATCTATCAACTAGTTGGCAATGGCATTGTTTTTAATCATCAGAACCTCAAAATTATTATTATCGCTTCTGATGCGGCAATTAAAACTTCAGGTCAGAGGCACAACGAGCGGTGATCAGCAGCCGAGCTGAGAAGTTTTAATTAGACGATCAGAACCATTAATGCACAAAAAAAAGGTGTGCGCTGGGAAATTAACGGGAACGTCTTAATCAGGGTTAGCGACTCCGAAGAGGAGTCAAGTGAACAGAGAGCAAAAAACAAATCATTTCCGCACCACTGGGACAAAACTCAATTAAATATGCATGCGGAAAAATGGAAATTTTCTCAGCATCGGCTGCACCGACTGTTGGAAAACTGTGGCAAAATCTCACGGCGGGGTCGTCGACCTGCTTATTGTTATTCTTGTGTAATAAAAATGAGAGAGGGGCCAGATGCTGGGGTCTGGGTGTCGTGGCGTAGTTGTCCATCAGTGGCTTTCCGCTTGACTTCCTTGAGGCTTCCGCAGCCTCTCTACCGTGCAGGGCGAGAGAGAGAAGAGGAAAACATTCTCTTCCTGCAAGCCGTAAATTTACAAAAATAAAAACATGGTAATTTCCAAGTGTGTCTGTGTATGTCTGCCTGTGTGGCTCAGTGATTTCCCTGAAACACTCGTGCACACACGATCTCTCACACATACATCTCCCTTGAGAGCCAGAGACACAAAAGGTTCACGGAGCTACACACAGGGAGCTCAGCCTTGTCGATTAATCTGCCAAAGGTTCATAAAGTTATAACTGGGCTTCCTTTAAAACAGCTACAGCAACTCTCCGTTGCATATTGTAAAATAATCCTGAGCTGAACACACATCTCCTAGAACCCGTTTGTATTAATTAACTCCTGATATTGCGGGGGGGTTTGTCCCTCTGTCAGTCATGTTGAAACTCAGCAGGAATCTACAACAAGCCCTGTACCTGTGTTTGATTAGGTGAGGAGATAAGCTTCAGTTTAAACAGGTAATATCTACGTCTCTTATATACAGACCCTGTGTGCTCGCTCCACACTGCAGGGAGTCGATGGTGCAGCGCTGCACTTTGAATGAACAATAAGTCAAGTAATTCAATTTTCTATATGTTGTTTATGTGACTTTACATCTTCCACAAGATGATTAAACAAGAATGTTGGACATAAGCTGCCTCGTCTTTGAATGATAAAAAGAGGTAAAGCCATGACCCTGCCAGTCTTTACTTCCACATTCTTTACTCGTAGCTGCCTTGATTACAGTCTGCACACGTTCACACAAATAATGCACTTCCAACAGCGTTATTAGGATTTGAAACACCACTTGATTGGGCATGATATCATTCTGGCACACAAACAGAGACTCTGCATCAAAAACCAACAAGACCTGTGGGGCTTAGAGCTGTGCAAGAGTACGTTTGTCAGTGTGGAGGGCTAGACTGGAACACAAGCTGTGTCATCCAGCGCCGAGAAGAAACAGGGCTCCAAAGAACTATGATGCGCATATTTTTGACTGAAGATGAAAAAGAACCCGACCCAGTCAAAATGTGTTCAAAATAGTTTCTTGTCTTTTTCCTCAGGTTCTGGCCTTATACAGACAGTAAATGGCGCTCCTTTGTGGCCCTGCTCTGTTTCCAGTAAAAAAAATAATGTCATAGTTAACATAAACAGTTGGAAAAATTAGTTTCAGCCGTTTAGATTCAAACCTGCCTGTTTTTTTCCAACGCTCAGTGCTTACTGAGGTGTCTCCTCCTTGACAATTAGCACACCAGGCTAAAACAGACGGTAAATAATGTCCAATGCATGTGACAGTGTTGTTTTTCTGTCTGATATTCATTAATAAGGCAGAATGCTTACTGGACTCTCAGGGAGGTGGGGGAGTTGGTCCCAGAGGGAAAAGTTGTTCTTTCATGTAGGTCCCCACAGATTTGATCTCATTGTACGCTATCATGCACACAAACGACTTGAGGTAAACAACTTGGTGTTACCATAGCAATCTCTATTGTAGGCAATGGTAAAAAGCTGTCATGGACAGAAACCCTCAGCATAAATAATAGTTTAGACAGCATCCATAAACCACCGAACCATAGCATGTTTCTCCTTACAGGAAGCTAACCATATTAAATTTGGTTCAAAGCAAACCTTTAAAAAAAGAAAACCACTGAATGTGTGCGTACCCTGTCTGATAACTCAGTAAGAGGACTGCTTATATATTTAAACAGTAGCACTTAGTCCTCCACGCACGCTCTGTATTGTTAACAGAAAATCATACTAAATAGTCACTAATGGAAAGAAACATCTCTGTCGGGGTCATTTCCCACAAGGAGCTTGAGATCGCAATGCGGAAAGGAAAATCGGTAGTTAAAGCATGAAATACTGAACACAGTAAACAGAAAAAATGACCTCCACAGCAACACCCTAATGACCTCAATCTTCCTTTGGAGGGTATTTCAAAAAAAAATAAAAAAACAACTTGACAATTTATGTCTTCCACTTCCTAATAGTTTTTCCAGCTGATTTTTCTTTTCCTTTACAAAATATCTGTCATCTTAAAGGTGAACCTTTCACCCCCGCCTGCAATTGTCTAACACTAAATTGTACAGTAATTTGCCACTGATATATGGCCCTCTCAAAACTACATAATTCCTGTAGCCATTGTTTCAGAGAGGAAGCCCGCAATGTAAATACAGTAACTGAGAAAGCATGTGTGGGGAGCACGGGGGACATTGTCTGGCGACGGGGTGATCTGTAAACTCCTTTAAATTGTATATCCTCTAATGATTCCACAGCTTTGCAAAAGAAAATGAAAACAGGATTTTATGTTGCACCGGTGTGATTTACATAATGCCGGCAATGGCTCACACATGATTGTGCTTGGCTTTATGGCGGAGGGAAAATGAAGAGCCTCGTACTCATTGTTATAGAAAGTGAATTGAGTCTTTAAGATAGAACTTTGTTACATCTCACACATTTTTTGTGTGCTGAAATGGTGTGTCCGTAGCTCAGTATAGCATATTATCTTAACCACAGTGTGGCTACGTTAAGATTCAATTCAGTTGCACACAAGGAGAAATATTCCTGCTGTGGCATGCTGTTTAACTGTTTTAAAAGAGCCTCATCTGACAAAGCTTTACATACTACCAAATACAAACATAATACAAGTTAAAACGCTGTTCTGATCCCTGGAGGGTACACTGCTTTATTTAATACCATAAATACTGTATTACCGTCACCTCCTCCCTGCTTTTTAAAGGTTATTTACAACTTGATAAAGATCTGGCCTTGATTTTGAGTCTGAAACAGGCTGTTGCAAGGTGAACTTTGGTGGCTCTGGAAATAAAACGAAAGGTACTAGAGTGTAGTTTCTGCCCTAAAAAGGCAGCTCTGGATATGGAATGCCACAGGCAGCTGTTCCTGTCTCATCAGAGGACATGTTATAAAGATAGCCCCACTTGGGTTGAAATAATGCCACCCATTCCTGCCCCAAAGCACACTCTATCATGCTCTATTGTTCACAGAGAGGCCGCGTGGGGGAAAGAGATGTTGAGACTGTGTAGTTTGTCTTGTTAAGCAAAGATATGTACAACATCTTTGTTTGATGTATCCATGTCTTTGCTAGATCACCAGTAAAAGACAGCGCAAGGACCGAAAGAGCTTAAATACAAATGTATTGTTTCCTTTTTATAAAGGCAAACCTGCAGCCGGCACAGGAGCAGTTATTGTGTCTAATCCCACTAAATGAGAGTCCGAAAGACTAAAAAGCGCTCAGCATTTTCACTTCACATCCTGACAGCTTTAATGCTGTGCAGCCCCCACTCAGAGGCAGGACCACAGCCTCTTGAGGTGAGAGTGAAGATAACATTTCACAGTGTCTCTATAGCGCTGTCATGTGAAGGATTATGTAGCCGTGTATTTGCTGCTTGTAGTACCGTAGGGGGTCTGATACCTATCTGCCTGTGGTTTCAGCTGCCTGAGCTTTTTTTCTCCTTTTTTTCCACCGCCGCTCTAAACTCTGCTGACCGAAGAGGTGTGACTTAGAAAGATATGTACAGTATCTCTGTGTGTCCTTCCAGTCTTGTGCTGTTATTGTTAAGTGCTTTTGGATGTTATTAATAGCAGCAGTCACATACCTGTTGTTTTTCCATTGCAATGTTTAAAATCAGTATAACATACTGACATAAGTCTGACATGACATGGTTCAAACTTTATTTCAGGTGATACTGAAAGCATTATAAATAAATAACGAAAAACGTTTTGAAAGAAAGTTTGAGTTACATTGAGATCATTTCTATCCTGGACAACTTTAAACTGATGTTATTCTTTTTTCTTTTCTTGTTTCCAATAGCTGAAAGGAGTTTATGCACTGAAACGACCTCAGGAAAATCCAAGATGGCCGCCAAAAGGAAAGGTGGCCTAAAACTTAATGCTATCTGTGCCAAGCTGAGCCGACAGGTGGTGTTCGACACCAGCTCCCAGAATGCAGAGGGAGACCAGAGTGTAGCAGAAAACAGCGAGCATGGCAGTTCGCACTACGATGACAACGAGACCATCTTCCCCGAGAGCCTCGAAGAGGACCAGAAGAGACGCGAGGCCATCGAGAAGTGGGTCAACGGCGAATACGGCGATGAGCCACCAGCTACTCGTGATGAAGAGGAGCATGAACCCAAAGTCAGCAATGACGAAGATGCCCCTCCCCGGGGCGTGTACATGGTACGCCCCACAGGCTGCAGCGATGACGAAGACAAGACAGAAGAGGGGGAGCCCACGACCGGCTCTCAAGATGGCAGTTACCATGACGACAAAGAAGCTGAAGAAAGGCCTCCAAAAGAAACCACCTACAAGCCACCAAGCGAAGCCCAGAGTCGTCCGCCACCTTTCGCCTCCACAGGTACAATTTGAATTTGTTGTCCAGTCAGTTTTCTTTCTAATGTTGCCACCTTACTCTGATTAATAGCCAACCCTTTTTATATATCTCAAACCTACACTACCTTTGCCCTTTAAAACATTCCTCTCCATAGTATTATAGGCCCAATGCTTAGATAGAGGGCGGGTGACATTGCTACATCCACATAAGCTTAAGTGTGCCCATTATTGGAAAGAGACACTCTAGAGTTACATTATGAATAGCCAGTGACATTACCCTGAAGACATATTCAACTGGCAGACCAGGGGGGAAAAACAGGAACTTGTCAGTGTGTGGTTAACTGCATAAAGAAATTCATAAATGGAGTAGGCTTACAACATAAGGCCGTTTATGCACTCTCCCAGCAGCTGTGGGCCAAGAGCGCATGGCAGAACCAGGCTAAGCTTCATATTACACCCAGGATTACATATTGAGTCTTTGATTTTCCCTAAGCTCACTAAACTTAGCCACTGCTTCAAACTCCTCTATTACATGAAATTGAAGTCTGCCGTGGAGGAGCGAAGGTTTCTTTTTTTCAGTTGTCAAATCCACGAGATCAATTTCTAAATATACTCAGAAATAGTGAAATTATATTGCAGTGCCATATATCACTTAATTATGTTATTATCTTCTCACAAACAACAGTAGGTCCATGTTTTATAGATAGCAGATACTTTTCATAAATTCCTAAATATGTGCTCTTGTAAATGACTCATTATAATCCCTGTTAAATTGTTACATTTGTTTCCACGGTATTATTCACTGATTATCAAACAGATAAAGCTGGCAGTCATTCTGAAGTAGCAAGCGTATGTGTTAACTGCACAAACAATATTTAAGAAAGTACCTTCTACGGTTATACACTTGGTGACACACACACTATAGAACATATTTGCCTTTGTATAGCAGGAGTTAAAACAGGGTGCTCTTAAAAGGAGACAAAACATGGCTCGGCTATATGAATAGATAAAGTTTCACAAGCACCCAGAGAAAAAAAAAATACTGCAATTTGCAGGTGAGAACGGTTGTTGCGGTAGAAAAACAAGTGTTGTTTTGTGCTTGCTCACCTCACTTTAGCAGTTTTTTGGTCTTTCATCTAGGTTTATGTATCTACCTCAGTCATGTACACATGCTCTTTTTCTTTGCATTTCTTTTTGTCTAACAGCAGTAGCTCCGGCCACATACAGAATTGGGGGGGGGCAGGGGCTTCTCAGAAATTGAAGCAGGTTTCATTTCAGAAGCAAATGAAAAAGGCTTTGTGGTTTTAATTAGTCATTTTGTGTTTATTTCAACGCAATAAAAAAGCCTGTCTGTAAAAATGTATTGCTGTTGTGAAGCAGACCTACACCTTCTCCTTCACCGGCTCCCTTAACTTTACATCTCACAACAAAGCCAGAGTGTTTTTGAAGACTGCAAGGAGAGCACACTGCATCGGTTGCAAATCTTTTCTTTAGACACTTTTTTTTTTTTTTTCAGAGTTGCTCTTTGTTGATTGTAACTAGGGCATCTATATTGCCATGTTTCAGCTCAGCTCACAATTAAAACATTTTTCTCTCTCTCTCTCTCTCTCTCTCTCTCTCTCTCGCCGCTGTCTTTCAAAGGCTGATGCGGAGTGCACATAATTATGCATATAAACATAGTGGCTTAATTATCTCTCACAACATCAGTGACAATGTAATTAACAAACATTGCAAGATCAATGAGAGAAACTGCGACCTTCAAAACATTTAACTCCTCACATTGAGGCATCGTGCGGATTTCCTATCAGTGCAAAACCCCAGAATACTTTTCCTAGATAATTTAGATGTCGCATTAGAGCCCTCATAAGCCAGTCAATGGAAAAAAACAATGAATAAAAAGTATGAAAGCAATGACAGAGATGCTCATAGCGACGGATCAAACAAGCTTGACCATGACTTCCATTTGCAATTCTGGGTTCACTGTAAAAGGTTATTGTTCATTTCAAGCTGTTTCAAAGCCCTCTCTATTTACTGCCTGTTAATTAACTAACAGAGAGGAAGTTTGAAGCTTCGTGCAGTTTTGTTCTTGTCAAATTAGTCCAAACACATGCACATGATGTCATGTATTCAAAGCAACTCTTTATTAAGCCACTACTGTCCATTTAAATACAACATATTTCAACAATTCACTAGCATGAACACCAACTGCCACCTAAAATTCTGTTTAAATGATTGTACCATATACAGAAAATCCCACTATTTAAAATGTACTCGGAATGACAACTGAAAAGATGGCATATTATTAAAACATTTTTTCGTCACCAATTGGTTTACATTGTGCTGGAGTGGTTCAAAACTGACACCCTTTAGTAGGTATTCAGACTCTAGATTATTCCATATATAGCCTCCAACGTGCACCTTTATCATCAGCGACACCTCTGCCTCTTAGTCCTGTGAGCGGGGAACTATGCCACGGATGGCCATGTTTGGTCCGCCAAATGGAGATATAATGCCCATCTGTTATCATATCTGGGAGGGAAAATGTAGCCTAATTGCCTCAAATATAGACAAGGCGGGTCTGTCGTGTGTAGGGTTTTGCTTGACTGAAGTGTCAAGATTAGAGACCACTTGTTTGAAAATGTCCAGGGCCACCGGAGAGAGTGAAGAAGGAAATGTCAGTTTATGTTCTTCTTTTTTTGTTGGGTGGGTGGTAGCAATGTGTGGCCATTTTCCATACAGCCAGCACTTTCCCACCTGGTGTCACATGACATCATTAGGCGGCAGCCAGATAGGGGAGGAGTTCAAAATTCATTTACATGGTTTTTTGGAAAGGTTATCTCCCGTCAGTCCCAGTCATAATCCCTTTAAGTCCAATCATTTGCCTTTCATTGATAGCACGCCACATGGATCCGCTGATGAATAAAGAGACTCTGCAAGTTTTTTTTTGGGAGTGGTGAGGATAATACCATAGGCAAATAGAATAAAAAAAAATTAAAGGGATTTCTTTTCTCCCATGACAGAAACCAGTAGTTTCTTTGTAATCATTTGCAATTGACTGTACTACAAAAATAATATGTCTTCTTTCATTTGGAACATCAAAGCAAAACTCAACAGGCATTTATCTATTCCCATTAAATGTATTTATTATTATTTTTTGAAATATGATTTCCATTTAATCTACCTGATTTTTGTTGAACATCGCCTCTAGCTCAGTAAAGTGTAGTTCCATATTCTGACTCATACGGGCTGTGGGCGGGTCTGCCCTAACTTTAGAGCTATATGATAGTCTGTGTCCTGAGGTGCACTTAACAAATATACAAGCAGTACATTCCAATCAAGAACGAAGGTTATCAACACTTGAATAAAATAAAAATAATGTTCGGGTCGGATTTATGTAGACATGAGGTAAAAAGTATAAGATAAATTGTACTGCTGTAGATACCAGTATTGTTTATACAGTTTCAGCACATGTGAAAACAGAGAGAAGATTTGCCGATCAGATCTGTGGTAAACATGCAGGTATTTCCTCTGAAATACCCGATCCATTTCTGTTAAATGTTTCATGCCCTTTCGATCCACCAGATACTCTTTCATACTGAACCTCCACGCCAAGGAGCAACTCCAGTGAATGGAAATGTAGGGATTATTTTACATGCTGCTCATGAGATGTGAAAAGCAGGGCACAGAGACTGATTTAGCAATAACTGAGAAATCTGAGACAAGCGCAGAAAATATTTGTGTATTAATTACCCGGATGGTCCTGTAGGTGGTATTAGCTCTCACCAGCTCATGTGTTCATGGTGATGAAAAAAAAAGCAATAAAACATTTGATTTTTTTGAAATGTATTCGACCCTGATCCTGTGACTGTGCCAAGGATGAGTCTAGAAGGCCAGAGCTTTTACATGATCCAGGTGAAATGATCATGTGGTACATTACTATCCTGCCTGACGTGCAGACTGACACAACAGGAGATTTATGGAATTGAGTTGGATCTACAAACTCAAATGCCTCACCAATCCTATCTACATTTCTCCCTCCTAGTTTTTATTGTTTCTCCCTCACACACCCTTTCTTTGTCTTTTCATCTCTTCTTTATGAAGAGCTTTGTCCCTCCAATGCTTTCAGAAACAATCTTTTTTTTCCTTTTCCCCACTCTGACCCCTTGCACTAACCTGGATGAAAGTTAATGGGCCAGAATTAATCTCCACCTAATGCAATTAAACTATACATTGAGTATATTTCGCCTATGTCCTTGGGGAAGTTGTCCAATGTAATGGACTCTTAAAATGTAAGTGATGTTTCGGTTCACAAATGTGTAAAAAGGGGAAAGGATTCATGCTTTTTACTCTTGAAGGTGACACAACAATCATGTTATTTTCCAATACCTTACACCAAGCTTTGTGGAGGATTATCATTTATAAATTGCACTTAACATGACGTGATTTCCTGGCAGGCAGTAGTTACAATTATATTACTTTTTTAATCGTAAAGCATTAGTCATAATGTAAAAGTCATTTATGAGAAGTTGTATACATTATTTTTCCTAAAGTTCCCCCTATATTCTTTTGTTTTCTTAATAAAGTTGCTAAGATTTATTGCAAATAAAAATCTCAAAAGAAATGTTCTAATGAATGTTGATAACATAACACACTGTAATGAGAGAAGTTTGTTTATTTAGTGTGTTGTTTGGAACAGTCACCTGCAGATTTTGCAGGTTTGATTAGAGTGCAACCAAAACAGGAAGAGCATTGCCTGCTCGTTTATAGACATATACATCCACAGATATAAAGATATGCTTCTCTATTGTGCAGTGCAGAATCACTTCTTTGAAATGTACTATAAAATATAAGATAGCTTGTTTTTCAATAATTAGGCTGACAAAATATATTTCAAATTGATTTACAAAGCAAGAGCCAGATTACTTTATTTTTCACTTGATATTTGAAAAAAAAAAGGTCATAGACTACAATGGCTACAAAGCAGAACAACATGTAGAGCAAGCATCAGACAACATGAAGCAAGAGAGAACCATTTCAAAGACTGATTGACTGACATGAATTTAGCCACTGATTAACACGTCTTGAGCAATGGTTTAATTTGGGTTCAGTTTCTCTCCCAAAATGAAAAAAACAATCATACTAATCTGTTGCAAGTAATGAGTTAATTATTAATGCCAGACAGCACCAATGACTCTGAGGTAACGCAACTTTAAACTAAATAAGTTTTTACCTCTGCTGTTTGCGCCTCTTAAAATGAAAAATCAGAGCGGGTTTTGTTAACTTTGACATAGTAACTCATTACTCTTTTTTTCTCCCTGCAGGAGAAGCATCTGCCCTGCGAGACTATGCAGCCAACACCATGAATGAATTTTTGGGAATGTTCGGTTATAATGATCAGCAGGTAAGGGATGAGCTGACCAAGAAGATCAGCTTTGAGAAGCTCAAAGCCGCTACCTCAGACCTCTCGCCCCTCAGCAGTGAGGAAGCCTCACGGCGCGCGCGCTTCTCTAAGTACGAAGAGTACATTCGTAAGCTAAAAGCTGGTGACGCCCTACCTTGGCCCATGCATGCTTCCCCACCAAAACCAGACGACCTCAACCCAAAACTGGCCCAAGACAAGAGCGCCACCATGCTCCAGACCTCTGGGTGCCTCCCAGGGGCCGAGGCACAGATCTACCCCCCCAGCCTGGACCACAAACAGCCAGGAGGACCTCAGCTCGGCGCCTCTCAGCCACAAAATCCCTCTCACATCCAGAGCATGGCGTCCCGAGCCTCTAAGTATGACTTCTTTATTCAGAAGCTGAAGATGGGTGAAAGTCTACAGCAGCAGAACGGTAATGCTTACAAGCGACCCTCCAAGTACGACCTGGAGAATGTCAAGTTTCTGCACCTCTTCAAGCCAGGTGAGGGCAACCCTGACATGGGCGGCAGCATTGCCTTTAAGACTTACAAAGTTGGCCGCCCTTCCAAGTATGACGTCAGAACAATTCAGAAGCCAATGACAGGAAGTCCAGAGGCCTCTTTGATGCCCAATGTCCTCGCTACAGCACCAGGAAACCTGGGAGCTCCTGGTGTTCCCACCATGGGCACATCTGGGGCCAGCATCGCCCCCGGGCTCACAATGGACCAGACAGGAAACATAAGCTTCAACGCCGCTGACTACCTGAAGTCCAGCTTTTCCAAGACTGACTCCATCACCACAGGCACTGTTTCCTCCGTGAAGTAAGTCTGTGTAAACATCATCATAACAAATAATTTCTTATTGCTAATTATCGCTTGTTGACAAGAAGATATGTTGCATATTACGCAAGTTATTTGCACCTAAACAATGCACGCCTCTTAAATTCAGCTAATAAAAAGCATGTCCATTAAAATTCCAATTTAAAGTTTATTGGTGGACTGAAAAGATCCCAAGTTCCAATGGAACACCTTGGAGCCAATGTGAAGCTCACATACACTTAACTGCTACTGTGAGTCAGTTAGCCTAACGCAAAGGTAATTGCTACCTCCATAGCAGCCAACAGGAATGTGGTGTGAAATAGCGCATAGCGCCCAATAGATCCACGGCATGATGAGTTGGGAAGGCACATGAAGTGTTTACTCGCTGTAGCACTCTGTGGAGACTGATTTAGCACAGTCATCGCAAAGTGACTGACTTCTTTCGTTTGGCTAGGGTGTAACAACTCTCCCTTTAATTACTTTGGAGCCATGACTAACCTCCCGGCGAGTCACAGGGGCCGACTCTACACTGCCTGACGAGTGCACTTTAAAGGAAGCAAACGAGGGGTTTGGGGAGCTAGCCTACAGTCGTGTGCACTACCAGTAGGAAACAGCTCCCAGAGTCTGTTTGATTGGTTTTAACCTTGTCTCTAGTTAGTCAATACCTATCAAAGACACTGTTCAAGAGCCCTCAGGCACCTCTCCCTCAGGCTTTGGCCTTTGTCAGGTTGGGGCTCAGCGAAGCTGCAAGCTTGGCTAACTGACCCAGTCTGGTGCTTGTACACAGGGAGGAGAGACGATGCTAGTGAGAATGTCTGGCAGCGCATCCTCCCCTCTGGGCCAGATTAACCTCAGGTCATCCCCCGTGTGGAGCTGCTCACATGGAGCTAAATGCCATTTCTGAATGGGAGCAGGCATAACCAATACTGTAATGTGACTGTCACTGTTACCAGTGATAAAAGGTACACAGAAGTTCTCAGTTTGCCTCTGTGTTAACATTTTCTGGATTTCCTTTTTTAAATGATATCTGATTAAGTTGAAAATTGAAGCTGCAATGTTGTCTTACATCTTTGTTTGAGTCCTGACTGATTGGAGACAACTTGACACCAACATTAGAGCCAAGGCCCTTTTGAGATTTTCAGAAAGCACCATTTCAGAGCTTTTCTTCATCGTCCCTATTATCCAGTTTTGCATATAAACACTCACCAAAATACCCCTATAAAAGATTAATGTTCCTTTGCTCCTGCATTTTGCCTTTCATTGGTTGGGAGCCCATGCATCAAAGTGTGTGGCTTCCATCCCTGATTCATACGGCACATGAAAAGGCTGTTGTGCCACAGGAAAATGTATATTGATAGTCCAAAGTTTGGGAGCTAAGTAAATATTGTGTCAGTTTGTTTTTATTAACAACAGGCAACACAACCTTAACATTTATCATGTCTCTTTTGTGTTTGCTGTTGCATTAGGAATGGCCTGCCACCCGATAAACCCGCCAGCGATGACATCAACCTCTACCAGAAATATATTGCCAGGTATGCAAATCCCTCAATGTGCCAAAGCAATGAAAAAATATACCCAAAACAGAGATTAACCTTTTTTGTATTCACTGATGTTGTGTTTTATTCAGTGATGTAACTAGATCTTAGACTGGTGTGGGGATGTTCTGTGCGCAGTAAATTGATTAAGAAAAGACTCCAATTTATGTGCCGAGAGGTAGAAGGATGGGGGTAATGAAAGTGAAATGGTTTGATGGTAGCTTACTGTAACTGGTTGAGTAAATGCTCACTGTTGTGTATAGCACTAAAACATTGAGGAGAACATAATTCTGTACGACTCTGTGACTGACACAGAGAGGATATGAGCTTAGGCCGGGGTCTTCCTGAGTTCTGCCGTTTATTGTTGAACACCCTAGGAACCGACTGCTCTAAAAAGTCTGTCATTCACACCAACAGAGACAAAAACATCAGGGGAGGGGAGGTATCTTGTGTTTCAATGGACACAGAACAATGTCCCCCATTCTGGATTCATTTCCAGCCGACAGTAGAAAGGTGATTATCATTTGTTTGTTTATTCCGTTTAAAAAGAAAGAAAAACAGCATTTGAAAAGCCAAAGTGGCTTTGGCGTTAATGATTACTTCTCCAAGCCATAACATGAAGGGCACAAATCAAAGCCTTGGCACTGACAGACACACACACACATACACACACGTCCCCTTCTACACACACACACACAAAACCCCTTCCTTGGACTGATTACATTTTGCAAGAAGATTTAATTAAGGAATTTTTAATGAGGCTTCTGCTGGCACTGCCAAGAACTGTTTTGATATTTGCGCTGCATAATGCATAAAATTTGTCTAAACATCTCGGCAGTTGATGCACGGGGAGGCTGCAGATAAGCCCAGATACAGTTTCAATTTCCGTGTTGGGTTGGGAAAAAAAGAGAAAGAAAAGAAGAAGGGGGAGGGAAAAAAATGAAAATGGAGGGCTCATAAAAAGGGCAAATGTAGCACCAAGAGGGGAGGTAGAAGCGGGGGAGGGTCCTTTTGGAGCTAGGGCTAATGAGTGCACACTAATACAAAAAAACAGCTTTGTAAACGTGTTTGTACCAATCCTTATGAAAAGAGAAAAAAAGTTCTTCATCTCCTTACCAGACTACAGTTTGATGTTTTAAAGAGCTTCCCTGGTAGTGTTTCGTTGCAGTTTTCTCTCTTTAAATGCTTTCATGCACCCACTTTTGCCTCGGCACTTTGATCTGTGTAACTCTATTGTAACTGGAGATGCGCTGCAATCTCTGTATCGTGGCAATATTAATATTTAATCTGCTGCTGAATAGCAGCGGCCCATTAGGCCCCCTGACGCGGCAAGTGGGAATTGTCCAGAGGCAAAGTGATACAGCTGGGCAATGAGCAGAAGGGTGGGCCATGGTCTCAGGGGGTGGGGGGCTTTGTGTGCTCATAAGTGTAAATGTGTGTGCGTTTGAGTATATATGTACTTAAAAGAAGAGTATTGAAACAGTAATTGTTTGGATATATGTTTGGTTGAGTGTGCGTACGCACTTTATATGATTTTAGGTTTTTCTTTTTCTAAAAAAGACATCTAACCTCCCAAATGCCCCCTCTGCCTCCATCACCATTTTCAGACACACACACATACACTCTCACAGCCAACTTAAAAAGAGTAGTGGATATGCCGTTCAATTAGCTTAATGAACTCAGCAAAGTGATCTGTAAATGCAGCTCTGGGATAATCCTAACAAGGAAAAAACAGAAAGAGAGATGGAACAAATATTACTTAGCCCCCTTTCCCCCCTCTCCTCTGCACTAGCAGATGGAGCTCTTGGCAGCAGTAGTGCAAATGTTTATTTGTGTGTTTTCACTGGTAATTGGAGGATTTTAACAGTCATCATCGTCAGGCTTATAATCACCACCGTAAAAGTGGCTGTACTGTAGCAAGCAGCAGCATTTTTTGATATATCTAGCACCAGACTAAAATCTTTTTTTTTTGGGTTGCAAAGTACTAGGAGCTGATCTCAGGACACCTGACCCTTTTCCGCAGGGTGAAACTGTGGTTAACCTGAAAGAACTATGCATTGATTCGACAAGGGCTTTCACAGGGTGGAGAAATAAAGTAGTCCTAGGGTCCTTGATCCTTGAGTGTGTGTGTGTGTGTGTGTATGCGTGTCGAAGGAAAGGGTTTCAGTGTAATAAGTGTCTCTTACGGCTGCTTTGGAAATAAATGGAGCTAATTTGGCTGAAATTGGTGTGACAGACGGTTAAATTGTTGCAGCAGTGTGGAAAGCAGAAGTCAGTTTGAAGGTGTGCGCTGTGTTGCTTTGAAGGTGAGACGCGCATAATGCCTTTCAGAACTCCTTCATCCCTTTTTTCATTTTGCTGTTCCCCGTATTTGAAGTAATTTCTTCAGTAATCATTCTTGATTTGCTTTTTTTTTTTCATCACACTGACATATTTCTGAGCAGCTTTGTCATTCAGCCTTGTGACTATTCTCAGTTCGAAAAGCTCTGATGTGTTCCTATGTTTTTAATCAGTCTTAATTTTTGTTTGATTCCCTTGCACTGTGTGGCCCTTAAAATGTGTAACTGTTGAAATGTGTCCTGCAACTCGGTTTTTAGGTTCTCTGGAAGTCAACACTGTGGACACGTGCACTGTGCCTACCAGTACAGAGAGCATTACCACTGCATGGACCCTGAGTGTAACTACCAGGTGAGCGTGAGTACTTTACAAATTTTTTGAGCAACACTCAAATACACATTCTCTCCTGTATACTGCAAGCTTAACCTCAGAACCGCACAGTTCAGATCAATGCACAATGAGAACAATTTGACAAAGGTCATTTTGTTTGATTGTTGAAATGAATGAAAACTTAGGTTGCCTTGTTTATTCATAACAAGGTTACTTCAGGTGACCTAAAGCTACGTATGTTCAGGACATGACAAAGGGGATGTGATCATCTCATAGACAAACAGGATAATGTGTTATCATTTCATTAGTGGTCACACCCATCCAAAGTTTACGCAGATGAAAAGTTTGTTGGTCTTTGGTCTGCCGAACAGGCTATGAGTGTTTACATCCGTGCAGTATGCAGGCGCCTTCCAGGCACAGTTGGTTTTTGACAGTTGGCCTTTTATCACAAGGGTTAATTGTAAATATGTTTGAAATATGCCCCTTTTTTATCTATGTGTTTCTATCCTAAAGACATCTGCCACTAATCCCCTTTCACATTATTAATCTAGTCCTGGTCCCAGGAGTTGTCATGTATGGCACAGGAAGCAGAACAAAACACAAAGCAGATCATAATACAGGCCTTGTGTTTGCTGTAGCATATGGCCTGAGAGAGTTAGACAAACACAGGAAGATTTGTCAAAGACGTCAAAAATCCTTGCAGAGCTAGAGCTGTGTGTGTTTTCCTTCCTTTCCTAACACTTTCTGAATTAAGCCATCTTCAGCTGTAATCTCCCATGTCTGCTCCTGATCAAGAGAGATTACCGCTCGATAAATATTGTTTATATGGTGAAAAGCATTACAGATCTAAGCTTTCATTTTCTGCATGAATCCCACTTCACAGTCTGATGGGACACATTCTTGGAGGAATACAAAGGAAAATCATTTCATGTCATTATTTAGAGTGTTAGTTCAGGTTATCATGGCAATTTCCACGGTCAGGTCCACATTTCTCTGTTGCTTTTGCGTTGCGTGGAAACACAGATATGCTTTGGAAGCCAGCTCTCTGGGATGTCAATACCCAGAAGAAGAAAAAAAGCAGCCAGTGATGAGCAGCCCCTTTCGAAGCGATAACTCATGAAATGTTACATGACACACACTCCTGGAATATTATCCCACTGCCAGCCTGCGGGCTATTGGCTGAGTCTGAACATTCTCCTTTCATGGGCTTGTACATGAGGGAGTGTGCATCTTGCCACACTAGTGGGAATCCTAAAATAAATGTAGCAAGTGGCTCACAACCTTCTTCACCACTCAACTGAAAATGAGATCTTTTTCCCAGTCAGCTCTCTCCATGGCCTATTTTGGACGGCTTGTTGGATCGTGTATACCATTACCGCAGTTCAACTTATCTTCCAGTCATGACTTACCAGAAAGTCCAAAATGTAGCTCCGAATGTTTTAGAAAAATTGTTGATGAATCCAAAGTGTTCATCAATTGGATTAAAAATCCTAATGAAGTGTTTGCTCCTACAGGAGTCAAACATCTCAAAACATGCAATGGGAAACAGGCCAAGAGCAAGGGAACAGCTGGGAGAGATCTTAGCTTTTTTTCTTCTGCACGAGTGGAGCACATGACACAAAGCAATTACCCTACTTTGTACAGCAATTAGTTGCTTTTAGAATAGTTCTTTCTGATGTTTCTACCTCAGCTGGAGATAAATATGGATTGAAGACAGAACTGTCTCATTGATTTGCGCTTCTCCTGTTTCAGTTTCTGTAACATCAGCTTAAGCCCAATTACAGCAGATTTTGTTGCTGCGAGTCTCTGTGGAGTGACTTTTCTCCTTTCCCTTCCTGACTCCTGGGTGTGGGAGGGAATGTGTATTTATTTATTAATGTTTTAATTTTAGAAGGCGGGTCTCTTAGCATATTCACTCATTATTAAAGCCTGCACCAAAAGTGAGTGTTTAATGCTTTAATTAAAAACGGAATCATATCGCAGCGAATTGAAAGGGAAAAACGTTTTTTGGTTGGCTTGTTTGTTTGTTTGTTTCTCGTGTCTTCTGTTTTCCCCTGTGCATGTCTGAGAAACCATCTGCATGGAACATCATTCTTCCAGAGACAGAAACATCAGAACTGTGATCTTGCATGTCAATTGATTCATCTTAATTAAAAAAAAAATACATTTAGGTGGAAGGGAAGAAATAGTGTCGAGACAGGGGGCGTATGGGGAACATACTTCATGTTCCATGTGGAAGCTTCCAGAGCCTTTGGTGCTGCATTTGGATAGGACGCAACTTTGAGATATGCAAAGTAAATCAATAACCAAAGAACGCATCATCTTTAAAGACCTCGTGGCCCTCTCCGTTACAATGTGCACAGCCCCCCCAACTGCCAATTGGCTCCTGCATGTTGCAGCTGCTGCTTCCATAGATATAAAGTGACTTGTTGCTGATTCTGTGACTGGTTTAAATAAACACCAACCTGTTGCCTACATTTTTCCCCCTCTCCTTTTGCAGAGGTTTACCAGTAAGCAGGATGTTATCAGGCACTACAACATGCACAAGAAGAGGGACAACTCTCTGCAGCATGGCTTCATGCGCTTCAGCCCTCTGGACGACTGCAGTGTCTACTACCATGGCTGCCACCTCAATGGAAAAAGCACCCATTACCACTGCATGCAGGTACACTACAAAGACTCACACCTCCTCCACCATCTACACACATAACAACTGTAAACTCACAAAGACAGTTTGCAGGCATGCATGCCCCCAAATGCACAGAAACAAAAGAATATCTGCAAATATGGCCACACGTTCTTAAGCATTACTGTACATACAGTACGGTATTCTATTAAGAAATGTGGTATATCATTCATCATTTAATTTACATTTCAGAAATACACATTAGACAACAAACATGGGTGTCAGTAAACCAGATTTCATGTAGACCAGGTAAAATATAGTTGTGTGTCCTTTAAGATTCTAAAAACATGTTTAACAGCAAAGTACAGTTTAAAGCAACATGAGGCAGGACAAAAAGGAGTCCTCACAATCTGGAGAGTCACGCTGCTTTTAAGACATACAGTACATGACTACAGGATGTTTGAAATTCACAGTTTACCTACATCTGCGAAATGGAATTACAGTTCCCTACTTTTCCATTTACACCAAAGTGTCTTTAAAGAGCAGTTTGGCAAAACATATCCTAAAGTAAATACAAGAAAATTGAAAAAGGGGGGAATAGATGTGCGGCTGCTTGTGCCTTCCCCACCTCTTCACTCTCTCGCTCCTTAATTGGCATGGATAAAATTCAGTAAGGTGTTTATATAAACTACACATTTTTCATTTTTTAGTACCAAGCAGCCAGTTGAAGATTATTCCCCCTTCTGGATTTGTTTAATTTTTTACATCTGCTTATTTTCAAAGTGTCATTGTGCCGAGAGCTTTCTCACCGACAGGGCAGCAGCGCAGCGGAGGATGGCTAGAGATATATTCTTTTTTAAACCTCTCTAACGGCGTAATTGTTATTAGGACATTTCAACCCTTGTTTTAACAGTCCCTGAGAACCTGCAGATGTTGGCATCGGCTCTCTTGATTTAGGGGGGAAAAGACAGAGTGGCATTTTTTTCATTGTTTGACTCAATATGGAGAAGTTGCCCGGTTTGTGCGGCTCAAAAGTGCCACGGATGATATACAATTGCTTCATTTAATTCAAACATTACCTGTTTTTTCCCCTCTGTGTTTGCTCTGAGGGCCCCTGAGTACCAGAACATTTTAAACTAAAGACAAAGGCTGTCATCTTACTCGCGTCTGCTTTCTTCTGCCCCCTCACCCTCTCAATTTTGTCTCAGAGTTACAGTAGGTTTGTGGTGACTGTATTGTCACACTCCAAAAGTATTTTCTAAAAGGCAGCTTTGCCAGGAAGTTATTGTAGTTTCAGCTACCTGTTGTGACCACTGTGTCTTTCAGTCACTTTTTTCCAACTGTCACAATGACAAGACTTTTCCAATTCACTGGTCTGACTTGAAACTTGTACTGCTCAGTTGCATCACCACACATTAAATAGTGAACGTGGGAAAACAACCTTCCACTCATTTCTAGGCCACTGGCATTCTCTTAACCACACTCCTTTCTCTCTCGCTTGTACAATATTTCTGATGTCTTTAAAGCATTGCCTTTTTGAAAACCATATTTGCAAACTGTAACTTTCATGTCTGCTTTGCAGCTAGATCTGGCTTTTGATTGCCATGCTTTGTCTTTGCTTTGCAGGTTGCCTGCAGCAAGGTGTACACCAGCACCTCAGATGTCATGACCCATGAAAACTTCCATAAAAAGAACGCCCAGCTGATCAACGACGGCTTCCAGAGATTTCGTGCCACCGAGGACTGTGGCACAGTTGCGTGTCAATTCTACGGGCAGAAGACTACACACTTCCACTGCAGGTAAATACTGCACGCCTCATGTGGTGCTTGTTTTTACATTCATCAAACATACACTAAACATAAATGCATTAAACACAGTTAAATACGCATTTATATGTTTTTCTTTTTATATTTTAAATTGTGTAGTAACAACTACTTACCCCAGCTGCAGAAGCCAATGATAGTGGTTTAAATAAATACAAAAGCCTAACAATTGGTAGAAAACATTTAATATGGGCTCGTTTCTAAAAGAAAAATAAATAAATGATAGGCTGCACACAAGTGAAATCCAATCTAATCCAACGGCTTCCTTGTTTCTCTGCCTGCACCATTAGTATCTTTACACCTCACAGATTCAAAGGGGGAAAACAAAAATAATCACACTTTTATTTTTGAAGAGCATGCACCACAGAACTATTGTCAATGAACATAGAGAATCACTAGGTTGATTCATCAAACTCCCTCACTGGATTGTATCCCTTTGGCAAAGGTTGCAGGTGGCAACACATCAATGGGATCCCGCTGCGTTACAGAGCTGCCTTAGTTATCGTTCCTCCTTTGTGAAATATTTGAATCATGTGGACCCTCTCACTGACTCCCAACTGCACCAAGGTACTGAGCGGTCTTTATAGCCCAGCGAATCATATTTTCTCTTTGTTTTCCTTAAATGTTTTCAGGCGCCCAGGATGCACATTCACTTTCAAGAACAAGTGTGACATTGAGAAGCACAAGAGCTACCACATCAAGGATGATGCCTATGCCAAAGATGGCTTCAAGAAATTCTATAAGTATGAGGAGTGCAAGTACGATGGCTGCGTGTACAGCAAAGCCACCAACCACTTCCACTGCATACGCTCCAGCTGCGGCTTCACCTTTACCTCCACTAGCCAGATGACCTCCCACAAGCGCAAACACGAGCGCCGGCACATCCGCTCCTCCGGTGTCATGGGCCTCTCTTCCGCCTACATGGTGCCAAAGGATGAGGCCGAAGAATCGAGCAACGATGACCTGATGGACTTCTCCAACATTAGCAGCAAGAACTCAAGCCTGAGTGCCTCGCCCACCACCCAGCAGTCCACCACTATGTCGCACTTGTTGGCCATGCCCACCACCATTGTCTCTTCCTCCGCTACATCAGGCCACGCCCTCAAACCCACATCCTCGCTACCCAGTGCGGGTCAGCGTATGTCCAGCCTGCTGTCCCAGAGCCTGCCTAGCAACATGCCCGTGGGCCTTTCTCTTTCCAACAGCGGTATGGCCTCCTCCAACCCGTTCTTCCCCCTCATACCCAGGATGCCTCACCAACCACCTCCAGCAGCAGCCGCTAGTCTGATGTCAGCTGTAACTTCAGGGGCCCACTCCATGCCCACCGACTCAATGACCCAAGGTTTCTCCACAGTGGGTGCAGACGGATCCATGGCCTCTACCCCAACGTCCTTCACCACCGCCTCCATCATGGAGAAGATCTCGGCTAGCAAAGGTCTGATCTCTCCCATGATGGCCAGACTGGCAGCCGCCGCCCTGAAGCCCTCCAACCACCTCGACACAGGTCAGTCTCTTCACAAATAGAAGTTATTTTGCAGAATCAATGTGTTTACTAAGCCACAGAACAATGGGAAATAGTGACTTTTAATCAAAACACTTTAAATAATCTAACAATTGTCATATGTATTGTGTTTAGCAACAAAAATATGCCTATTTCCTGCTTTTTTGCCTTATAATGATTTTAAATGTAATTCCTTTTGCACTGATGTTCAGCCAAAACAAGCGAGCTAAAACCAAGCATTAATCGAATCATGTGATGACAAACAATCACCGTTGGATCTCTGATAGTATCTAAAGAGAATTTAATGCTCATATACTAAAAGCCACATCCTTTTTTTTGTGTGTTGACTTCACTCGACTGCAGCCAGAGCACTCAGAGGTCATTTCTATCACTATCCCACAGTGGAGAGAAAGGCAGAAAAACTACCGCTTTCAGGCTTAAAGGGGCATACCGGAGGCATAGTCCTCTGCTCTGGGCTTGTTATTGTGTTGATCGTTTGTTAGATACCCACAATCCATTTGGAGATAAATGCGCTGACAGGGGAGAGTAGAGCCTGTAAAAGTCTCTTATGATGTTCAGAGTGGGGGCTCCTGGGGCTTGTGTCGAACATGTTTCCTCATCATTGGTCTCTTATCTATGTCTGCGCCTGTTCCAAGCAAATGGAGGTGGAATGAAATTAAGTTCAGAAATTGCAAGAACAAAAAATGTTAGTTTTTTTCTTTTTCGTCATGCCCTCTATGCAAACCGATAAAAATAAAAAAAAACTATGAAAAACAGAAATTACTCAGGCAGAAATTACTCAATGCACCAGAGCTGAGAAACATAGCTTCTTTTTTTCCCGCACTGACACAAGAATGCAGACACAGTTGCATGCACCAGCAAATGCACACTTTTAGAATTTCTAGAAACCTTCTGTTCCCACAAAAACATGTCAATATCTATTTAGCATAACCACAATTCACATAAATTTAGGAGGTAATTGCCTTGTCTATGTTTATCATATTGCTCTCAACAAAGCTTCAGAGAATGAAAATGAAGTTAAAGCATTCAATTGATAATGCACTGCAGAGCACACTCTTGCATTCAGTAGCAGTGGGGCATCCTGTGCTGAGCCTGAGCAGGTGGGGTGCAGATTGTAAATGGAGCTGCAAGGGGGAGCGTCTCCGGATGTTGGGACTGGGAAGGATTACAATTCCTGGTGGTGTTCCTGGAGCAGGACAGGCCCTGGGAGAGAGACGGGGCAGCTGCTCCGGGGAGCCGAGCTGAGCCCGGGCTGTCAGGCTGAGCTCCACCTCTGGGCCTCCAGCAGGTAGTCTGAACACTGGGAAGGCCCCCACTGAGGGTGGGGCCTCCACAGATGGTGCCATCACCACCCCTCTCGCAGTCTCACTGAGGGGCTGCATCTCAGATCTCTCTGTGCTTTATAACAAAGCTGCTTTAAAACAAGGTCCCCTTTCACATTCTCTATGGTAAAAGTTCACTGCCATTGCACGATTGAGGAGAAGCTTCAGTTTAGTTTCTCATATGTCATACTTCTTAAAATGTGTGAACAGGGCATTTGGGGCTAAAATGAGGAGGAAGTGGTTTATGCTTCTCCGTTGAAAAGGTGTGAGAAAAGTCAGTGTTTGTGGCTATTTTTCACAGCGTTTATTTTTTCACAGGGTTGTGAAACTTCACTTCTATTGTGGTGAATTGTGCCTTTTTTTTCCTGTTTCTGCTTTCAGTATTTACTCAGTATTTTTTCTTTTTTTTGCATTAATGTTCCGCTCTAATTTACCCCTAAGTGTTTTTCCCAGAGATTCAAGCATCTGAAGGGTTTACTAATTAGGCACACAGTACAAATGATCTTTCACAAGCTCTGCATCTTATCCGGAGTAATTACATGCTGATACATTATTCCTGGATAATTTCCAAAAAGAAGCTGCTTTGAGTCAAACTCATCTGTTCTTCCTCTTTGGGAAGTGGGTAGAAAAAATAACCTCATGATGTGCAACACAATAATAGATTTACGCATTGTAATCCACCTTTAAAAGCCAATGCATCCTCTGATATAGTGCAGGAATGCTTAATCCGCCTGATGATCATGTGTAGATCATAAAGGGGGAGCTGCTCTTGATTTAATGTGCTCTCATTTGGGCTGAGAGTTGATTTAATTGTCAATGACAAGGCAGAATCTGTCTGGCTTGTTAATTTTGGGTGTACCCCTATTAAGTTGGGGGGAGGGAAGTAGTGCTTGACGGAGACTTGGTAAGCACTCAGTGACCTCAAACCAGACGTAAAATTGTTTGACTGCTGTTTTCCCTTCGCCCCACCTCCAGCCCCTCAAACCTCAGCCGTTGTCAAACTGAACTGACACTGACACTTCCTCATCTTGGAGCTTTCAGCTGACAAGGCCCAAGATCGGCGTTTCCACTCCTATTCTGCCTGATATGTCTTTGGGTCATCTTGTAGCAGGGGTAAACTCTGCTCGGTTTCCCCCTTACGTAGGCGGGTTTTGTTTTCTCTCCAGCAAGAAAAAGGAGAGGAGCCTCACCAGGCTGAGGGCCAAGGGCACACACTTGGCTGCCCATGACCTTGCCTTGTCACAATCCCTCAGCACCAGCCCTGATTCCTAAACAACAGATCCCTCACCAAACCAATCATGGCCGCCGGTGCTCCTCAGTCATATAGTGTCTGAGAGGCAAGTGTCCCCCCTCCCACTGTCACATTAAAACAAAAACAAAAAAAACACTTATTGTCTACCAAAAAGCCTGGCTTTCTCTGTGTAGCCCCAGGACAAATTAATATTGAAATCCCTTGAGGATCGGGGTGTGGGGCAGAATTCACCTTCCTGTCAGCATTTCTACCCCAAGTTGTCCCCTGGTCTTTATCTATTTTATTCCATCGCTCCTGTCCTCACTCACAGCATCCACTGAATACCTATTTGCAGAAGAATGTGATCAAGAGGTCATGCTACTTGAACTAATCTGATTGGCTGTCATCTCCAATCTGACCGACATAGCACCCCTGTTCCTTGTGGGTACGCTCAGTGGCATCGGCTGCCGTCCGTTGTCAGGCCAACAAGCAGCCTGGGAAGGTGGAAAAGGAGGGGGGTGGCCAATCTGAGACTGCCACTTTCCCTCAGCATTAGCATCTCACTTAATGACCAGTTAAGAGGCAGCCTGGCAAATGAGTTGTGACAAGTGCTGCAGAAAAAGGAGTCTTTTTCCCTCATATCTCCCGCCTCTCAATCACCATTTAAAGGGCTTGACGGGCTGACATAATTCCGCCATAATTATCACTTGGAGTATTCTTCTCGGGCCAGGACAGAAGTCAGATTGGATCTCATCATAGGGTAATAATGCTGACCAACAATAACTTTGTTGTCACTTCTCTCATCTGCGTGTCTTGCTTGATCCTCAGGGAATGGGCACTCGGCTTCAGCCAGCCAGTTCAATCTGGTTCAAGTGAAGCAGGAGCCGCAGGACGTGAACTCTGGGGCCTCCCAGGACTCCACGCAGGAGCACAGCCTGGACCTGAGCAAGAAGGACCACAGGTACACAGCTGCATGGCACATAGAGGGTTAAGGCTTTATACAACATGTTTATTCTTGTTATAAATTCACCTAATATATTCACAAAATAAATCAACAAGGAAATAAGGTTTCTCTGATTGATAGAAGATTTCTGCAGTCTTGGCAGCCAGGGTTATGTGCGCAATTATTTATCAAAAATATCTCATTTATATACATGTGCATACAATTATAAAACCCTCACCATATTTCTCAATTTTCGTGTGAGAAGGATGTTTGTATAAAACGTCAACCCCAATCTTCCCTTCAAATAACAGTAGATCTTATTTCTTAAGAAGACAGCATTTTTCTTCCTCATTATATAGGCACACCTTGCGTGATAAATAGTCATATTTACTGTTCTCATGCAAATCTTCACTAAACATTGTTCATTTTCCTTGTTCCAGTAATGAATCAAACGGACACCCTGTACCGGGGAATACATCTCTTTTATCCTCGCTTATGAATAAGGTAAGATTCATCCATCAAACGCCTTTCATCCCAAGACAAATTAGCGGGACACGGAGGGGCCTGTTTGTTTTTTAATGTTTCACCGCTAATAAGATGAGTTTGTATCATTTAAATTTTCCAGCCATTTTTCATACAGTGTAATTTTCACTGCACCTCTCACAAATTAATATAATGAAGCAGTAGCTGGGTGCCATGCCAGATATATAGAGATGTTTGTTTTTTGATGAGCTGTTATGAACTCGCCATCCATTTTTCCTCCTCCTTTATACTTCCCCCCCCCCCGCTCTACAGTTATTTATAGACTTTGTAAATTATTTGATTAAAAAGTCAGAGGAGAGGAAAAACAACAGGCAGGCGCTGCCCTCATTTTTTACCAAGTCTAAATGTTAGCGTATGGAAATTTAGATGTGCAATTTGTTTTGGCTGAAGATTAAAATGGCCACTGTTTTACACATACATCTTCTCTGATTGATACAAAAGTGCCAGGTGGTTTCCATCACATTAATGATGTTATGCCCTCCTTTTTTTTTATACCCTTGACAAGTGGTCAAGTCCTCAAAGTTGCTCTACTCAAAGCTGTCATTAATCCAGAGAGTAGAGGGGCTTCAACACCTGTTGTCCCACAGCTCCTTGTGTCATTTCAGCCTTTGGGGGTTAGAGTCGAGCCAGCACATCACATAAAAGGGTTAACAGTTCCTCCCAGGGGACGCTTGGCAAACACGCTTGGCTTGCACTCAAGCAAAAGCCTGGTTGTTTGTAAATCTGTATGTGCTTTTTTGCTTCGCCAAAACATTTGTGTGTGTTTAAACTCTCACACTCTCATTACCATATGCGAGTACCCAGTTTACGTATGTTCAGCTAACCCAGCAGCTGGTTGTTTATGTGCTATGTGTTTTCTAGATGTCACATGTGAACCCTGCACTGTTCAACGCCATGAACCTAAAGACGGAGCTGGAGGCAGGCCAGGGCAACCCCTCAGAGGCAGCCTACTATCTGAACAGAGTGCTGAAGCGGCCCATGCCAGAGAAACCCTCTGAGATCTGGAGGACATACCTCCGCAGGTATGAAACATGGAAGCAGTACAAGGAGTCACTTTAGTCTCTCCTTAGTAAGACTTATTCATTTTGGTAGTGAGACAACAGCTAAAAGTACCGTCAAGGCCTTTTCTGGAAATACCATTCCTCACATACTGCATCACTGGAAACCCCCTGAAACATAAAGAATCTGATCTAGCAGGAATGTGAAACAACTTAGAGTTATTGTTTTTAATGATCTTATCTCGAAACAGTCTTCTTTGCGTTTTACGTCTATTTGAGTCTTTACTATCTGTCTTTCTTTAGGTTTGATACAGACGACTACTGTGAGTCTCAGTGTGACTTCCTTCAGAAAGTTCACTTCCACTGCTTGGTAGAGGACTGTTGTGCACTCTTCAGCACTGTGGATGGGGCCATTAAACATGCTACGTGAGTGTCAAAGTGTTTAATAATCCGAAAATAATTCCCCTTCCACATTAGAGGTTATTGCTTTATTGAACAACATATAAACAGGTTTCCATCTTGTTCTTTTAGCTTCCACCTCCGGGCGCATTTGAAGGTGAAGTCTGAACCTCAGTACGGAGAGGGCAGGGACTCCAGTGAGGGTGCCTCGCTGCCTGCAGCCCCCGTCTCTACAGCCAACAACCCCTCCATGGATGTGGCCCACCTCACCTCCTCTGGTGGGTACAGCTCCCCTCCCCCCTCCCTGCTGGCCTGGAAGCAGCTGACCGGCAGCATCCCTCAGATGTCGGCCTCCATGCCCAACCTGCCAGTCAACTCCCCCCTGGCCACCACCTCTCTAGAGAACGCTAAACCTCAAGTCAAACCTGGTTTCCTGCAGTTCCAGGAAAAGTATGAAAAACATTGAATGTCCTCTTACATTATTGTACATACATTTTGTTTATTCCACTATTTGTTAATTGAATAGCACTTCTCTTTTTAATTCCTCCAGTGATCCCTGTTTGGCTACTGACTGTAAGTACTCTAACAAGTTCCACTTCCACTGCTTGTTCGGGAATTGCAAGTATGTGTGCAAGACGTCCGGCAAGGCCGAGTCCCACTGTTTGGACCACATCAACCCCAACAACCACCTGGTCAACGTCCGAGACCAGTTTGCCTACTACTCGCTGCAGTGTCTCTGTCCCAACCAGGTGAGTGCGGCTCGGTATCTCAGCCAGGAGCTGAATCACCTACTGTCATCTCCCACAGTTTTCTAAGCATGAAGTATGCTATCTATTAGACCAGTATTTGAGGTTATTTGACTCAAGGCTTTCACAACCGCCGCTCCCTGTCTTCCATCTCTGCTGAAAAAGACAGTCGACTCACCCCAGTAATGCCTGTTTATATGTCAATGATGTCATTTTGACTGCCGCATTCTCCTCTCAGAAAAGGCCAATTTAGCTGATATTACCCAATAAATCATTGTCACTTGCACAGTAAACAAGGCTGTCTGGAATAGGGCAAAAATCAGGGGAATGCTTCGCAAATGAAACCTAAATGGCAGCCCCCCTGCCTGCTCTCATGAGCCCGTATTTGGAAAAGCGTTTAAATGAATTCATTAATGTGTCGAAAATCACCCCTCTCACAAAAAGTCCCCCTCCTCCTCCTCTTCTCCTCCCCTCCTCCCCTTAGTCTCCATCTCCTGAACTGAGCAGATCTTATTTGGCCCGGTCCCTCTGGGATGTGGGCCTCACAAACAGATGGTGGTGTACAGACATGTTCCAGGGGAGGGGTGTTTGAGGGAAGCCTGGAGACAAAAAAAAAAAGAAAGAAAGTCATCGTTCTTAGAAATGTGGGATGTTCCAAAGGACCAGAATAAGAAAAGGTTGTGAAGGGTTGATTATGTTTTTGAAAAAAATGTGTATTGTGTTCACTTTAAATGTGCACACAAAGAAAGATTAAATCATTTTAATCAACTCCTTTGTATTTTACATGGCCACATTTGACTTATGGAAATGTTTGTTCTGCAGCACTGCGAGTTCAGAATGAGGGGCCACTACCACTGCCTGCGGACCGGCTGCTTCTTTGTCACCAACATCACCACCAAGCTGCCGTGGCACGTCAAGAAGCACGAGAAGGCCGAGCGCCGCGCCGCCAACGGCTTCAAATACTTCACCAAGAGGGAGGAGTGTGGGAGGCTGGGTAAGAAAAATAACTCCTGACATAAGTGTGATACACGTTTGGCCGGCTGACTGTTTTTGTCCTTGCCATGTCAGCCTTGACACACATTTGTAATCATTTTCTACCATGATTAAAGGTATGAAATTGAGGAAGATGTAGATTGATTTTCATTGGCTGTGCAGGAAGATGTTCTCTGTTTACAAAGGGAGAGGGACTGGTGTTGGCAAACAGTGTCGTGCTGTGAGTTGTTTAAGAGGCATGAAACAAGTCCGCCGCATAGGTTTTGTTGCTCTGTTTTGCATATTCACAATGGCACCTCAAGTCCCAAAGGTAGTCTTGCCTGTACTACTGTATATGAGCAATAACGTCAAAGGGGGCAATCACATCCAGGTTGTTTTCTTCTTCCTTTTGCCCCTGTCAGAAATGAGCAATTAGGTTTGTGTTTGTTAATTATCCGGCTTGTCTGGTTTAGCCTGTTTGTGTTCTGAAGCTGCGCCTCACAGCCACCGCTGCCATCACAATGAAATGAATTAAAAGTGATCTGTTTTTTTCAGGCGGTTACACAAGCTTTTCAGAACGCAGAAACAAAGCAAACAAAAACAGGCCCTAAACAGCTGTTTTTTGTCCCCAGTCTGATCTGCCAACTGTATTGTTTGGGCTGGGGGGAAAAAACAGAAAGGATTACCATCGCTAGCACTCCAGTCATAAAGAATTGATGGGCTGCCAGTATCCATGGCAGCGACATTAAACTGAACACAGCTGATGATGTTACCTGGTTTCTGTCTCACAAAAGGCCCTCCGTGTCACGGGGTTACTGTTATTTGCTCAACTTCGCGTGTTTAAAAACATTGTGTGTGCAAAAGCTATTTGATGACACAGACGTGTTGTCCTCCTAAACTGGGTGCCATGGTTACTGACATGCTAGCACCTGCCCAGCATGTTACTCTTTCAATTATTTCTGCCTGCTTTTATATAATGGTATTTGATTAACAGGCAGAAAACGGAGCATTCATTTAATTTGAAATCATAAAGCAATTAGAGCCAGAGCGGTTAAAACACTAGAAAAGAACTGAAGAATATGAAGCAGACAGCAGACACAATGGAGAACAAAAGGAAAAGGGACAACGGAGATACTTTGAAAAATGAATGTAATATGGTAATAATTGTATATTTACTTTGGTTTGCAGGGGTGTGTGCATTATTGGCCCACAGAAAATGAGAATTTATTTATGTAAATTCCTAATTGAATAAAGCATGTCAGTGTAATAAAAGAGCTCCACAGGTTTAGTGCACAGAAGCCTTGACTTGCTCAGTGTGACACCGGAGTGATCTAATATTCCTCCTACATGTACACTCCCAAACACTTTGAAAGCAATCCCTCTTTTGTCAGAGCTATATCATGAAATTAAAAAAAACTAAAAATATTTCACTTTGTCTTTGATCTAATCATAACACCGCTACCCTGATAATATTGCGTTTCAGCGCAGTAGCTGTTCTCAGCCGTGTCACAATGAGCAGAAGATCAATTAATCTGCGGGAGGAGAGTTTTAAAACTGTTACTGGTTTCTCTTTGCAGGTTGTAAGTATAACCAAGTTAACAGCCACTTCCACTGCATCCGAGATGGCTGCCAGTTCTCCTTCCTGCTCAAGCACCAGATGACCTCACACGCACGCAAACACATGAGGCGGATGCTGGGGAAGAACTTCGACAGAACCCCTTCTCAGGTACAAACTGTCACATATGACACATGCCAACGGTAACGAGTAATTATCTAAATATACGGGTTGAACGCCTCAATGAATTTAAACAGTTGTTGAGCGGTTTATTGTACCACATGTCAACAAAGACAAGTACTGCACACACCCTTATACTGACAGATTAAAGCTGCATTTTCTTGCCTTGCAGATGTTAACATGGTGTGTCCCAATATCATGGATTGTATTGTTGCACAAAAATGTGTAGATGTTGTTAAAGGAAGCTACGTTTAAATGTGATGTTCCAACAAACACAAACAGTTATTGTGGTTTCTGCTGTAAGAAGATGAGATGTTCTTCCAACAACTACTGCAAACCTGGTTGTAAAATAGAAATGGAAATGAGCTACTAAAGAGAGATTTTTATATTGGTTTGAGACATTTTAATAGTTTTATTTCACCTCTTAAACATTTTCTTATTTTGATTGGCATCCGAAGTAACCATGACGTATTTGAGTTGGTTTTGTGTTGTGTAACAGCCTTACTGTGCTCCCTGCTTTATGAGTCATATTCTGGTAAAGAGTAACAAGTTCATTTGGTGTCTAAAACGGAGCTCACATCCTGTCCCGTTCAGTGACAAATCACTCAAGACTTCGTTCTGAAGCAATTCAACTATGGAGTGTACATATCCAACTTCTCTCTGCAGTACTGTAGGTGGATACAAACATGTGGATTTTCTAGTTTGGTTTGTTCTTTTTTATGTTTGGAAGTCTTCATATAATGACAGAAATGTGACGTTCATTCTTTCAGAGGAGTTTCCACTTCTTGAGAAATGGTTGTTTGCCAAGAGCCAACACCTGCATTAATGACACGTTATAGGTGGAAATGTTTGTTCTTTTACAATAAAGCTTGTTTGTTTTTCAGGTGATGCCACTCAGTCAGAGGGCAGATGGATCCGGCATGATGGGAACTCATCCTGGTATGAACTCCAGCTTCTCCTCCGGCCTCATGGATGAGACTGATGATTACATGGACTACATGGGAGGGGGGGGCAGCCCACTTGGTCTCTCCTCAGAGTCCTCCAACCAGGACCGGAGCGGTGCCAGCACACCTGTAGGCAACGACAGCTCTCCAGCAGGTGAGAATATGTCAAAAAGAATTCCAGTAGAGCTTGAATAAAGTTTAGTTTAAGAGAATACAACCCTTCCATTCAGCCTCATGCTTCACTCAGTCCAAATCCATCTACTTTACCCTAAAAACAGCCACATTTCATTCTTCGCTCTATCAAGTGATTCAGTAGTTTCACTTGACAATCAATACCATAACGGCACATCTGTCATATTAAAGGAGGTTGATGACAATGCTGTGTTCTTATGTTCTGAGTCGTGGACAAGGTCTTTTGCAGTTTGCCTGGTCATCCTCATAAAACATCCATTTTGTCCATCAATAGTTTGAGTTATTTCAGCTTATTACATTTTCCTTTGGCCAGAGATCACCCCTGTGGCTTTATGTCTACTTTAGCACTTTTAGTACTTATAATTGTGCGGGGAAAGGGAAGCAAAGGAGAAATGGCCTCCTTTCACCTTAAAACTTACTGGATAAATTGATTCTTCTCTGCTTTTTTTTTCTAAATCTGAGCCTGCCTGTCATTTTCACATTTCTCCATGTGTTGCCAATATTATCCACTGTTTTTATCATTGTTCTTTTGGCTGGTGTTTGGGGGTTACTTGTCTTGAATGGGTCTCATTTTGTATCATTCTCTTATCTTTTATCTTTCCCTTTTTGCCTCCCATCCCTCTGGTCGTGTTTGTGTGTGTGTGTGTGTGTGTGTGTGTGTGTGTGTGTGTGTGTGTGTGTGTGTGTGTGTGTGTGTGTGTGTGTGTGTGTGTGTGTGTGTGTGTGTGTTTGTGATCCCTTGTTCTGTGTGTTTCTTCCCTTCCTGTCTGTCCTTCACCCTCTCTGGTGGTCCTGTCTCTCCAGGACAAGGCTGGCCCTCCACCACTTCTGCTCCCACCACCCCTGCTGACACTAGAGCTACCCACTACGCACCACCTTCCTCCCCCCCTTATCCTCCTCCTCTTCCTCTTCACTCCTCTGCCCCTCCGCCTGGCTTCCAGTCCCAGGCCCCGTCCCTCTCCCCCGCTCTCCTCCGACCTCCTCTCTCCTCACTCCCATACCTCCTCTCTCCATCCTGTCTGTCATACTCTCTGCTCAGCGCCTCTCTGGGAGCCACTCGGAGTGTTGTCATGCCAACCAACACACCAGCTTTCAGCCCCATCATTGCCACTCCGTCTCCGGTTAAAAATGACGTCCCTATAGTGCAGGATGCTGCAGGTACTTATCCCCGGCTCAAACCAACACTGCAGCTGTCACTCTTAATTGAGTCCTGTGCCGTATTTAACTGTGTGATTCTCTGCAGTACTGTTGGGAAAAGACGGGGGGGAAAGGGGAATTCCCAGCATGCAAAAAATAAAACATATAGAAATGTGCATGCTTACTGAGTGTGTACAGCAACAGAACAAATGTGTTTAATTACCTCACCTACACCTGGCGTGTGTTTTAACTTTTAGTATTACTAGATTTAGAGAGTAGTACATTTGGCACCTGTAGTAAGAAGCCTTGTTTAGCCTCCTTTAAGACTTCATCAGCAGCCTCTTACTTTAATCACGCCTCAAGTTTTATCGAGGCCCACTGCTTCCTGTCTCGCAGAACAGGGATCAGATCATTAGCAGAGACCACAGGGTGTAGCATAAGGTGGGTGCCCCTAATAAAACAACATGGAGATAAGAGGGTCGGTTAAGACCCACAGCTCCGCCTCTCTTTGGAGGCTGGAGACACCCTGTAAAAGTGTCATGTTCCAAAGTCAATCTATCATTTCCCGCCTCCTTTAATCATCCTGGGAATTAGGAATAAAAAACTCTGTGGCTCTCTGTGCTTACTCAGCTGTGAACCACTCTGAGTGAAGCCACACATTTCAACCAGAACGATCTCGGGATGTCATTTGTTTGTAACTGGTAAACCAAGTGATTTTTGTTCAACCTGTCCTCTTCCTTCTTCCAGGCAACACCATCTCCATTCCTACGGCCGCCGGTGCAAAGAAGCGCTTCTGGATCATCGAGGACATGTCTCCATACGGCAAGCGCCGCAAGACCGCCTCCTCCCGTAAGATGCTGGATGAGGGGATGATGCTGGAGGGCTTCAGGCGCTACGACCTCTACGAGAACTGCAAGGACCCGGGCTGCCAGTTCTCCCTGAAGGTGACGCACTACCACTGCACCCGCGAGAACTGTGGCTACAAGTTCTGCGGACGCACCCACATGTACAAGCACGCGCAGCACCACGACCGCGTGGACAACCTGGTGCTGGACGACTTCAAGCGCTTCAAGTCCGCGCTCAGCTGCAACTTCCCTGACTGCCAGTTTTCCGGCAACAGCACCCACTTCCACTGCCTGCGCTGCGGCTTCCGCTGCACCGACAGCACCAAGGTGACGGCCCACCGCAAGCACCACGGCAAGCAGGATGTGATCACCGCCGCGGGCTTCTGCCAGTTCAGCTCCAGCGTGGACTGCGAGGTTCCCGACTGCAAATATAAGCTCAAGTGCTCGCACTTCCACTGCACCTTCCCTGAGTGTAAGCACACGGTGGTGGGCATGTCTCAGATGGACTCCCACAAGAGGAAGCACGAGAAGCAGGAGCGCGGCGACCTGCCCTCTGTGTCGCCCAAACAGGAAGCACTGCACCACCTGGGAGGAAGTCTGTTGGCCCCTCCCACCTCCATGAATCTCTCCACCTCCTCACCAAGCGACTTCCAAGCCTTGTCCCACAGCATCAACAGCAGCGCGCCCTCTATGCTGTACCCCACAGGCGGCCTGGGTTCCGAGTACAGCCACATGTACGCGCCGTCCTCCCTCAGCCTGGACGGCTCCCTCAACCTGAGCACGGACCCCAGCAGCTGCCTCTTCTTCCTGAAGAACGCAGCCGGGCTGGGCCTCAGCGACTCCCTGGACCTCAGCACCAGAATGCACCACAACGCAGCGCGGTCCAACCAGGCGCCGCCGCCGGAGGGGGCGCCTCAGGACGACACCACGGGAACATCTGGAGAGGCCGAGGACGACCTGTCGCCAGAGGACGAGGCGCGTCCGGGGGAGGAGGAGGAGGAGGAGGATGAGGAGGAGGAGGAAGAGGAGGAAGAGGAGGAGGCCGAGCTTAACACTGACTCTAATGATGACTCCATGGCGGAGGCTGAGGGTGAAAAGGACAATGGCCAGAGTTCCGATGCTTCCGTTAACCACACTGATGCTTCCCGAGTGGGAAAGCAAGATGTCGACCCGTGAGAGAAGAGACTAGCAGTGACTGTGTGCTATGAACAAACTAAATGAAAGTGGCCTCATTTATCATATTTAGAGACTTCAGATGACAACAAAAAACAACAACAGCGTGGAGAAGAATGACGGCCCAAAATGATTTATTATGATGTTTACAAGATGACCAACATTATTAATTCAATTATGCATTAAAAAAATATGAACGGAGACACACAGAATTAGGCCGTGGTTTACACGCGGGGCAGCAATGTAAAGCATTTTACTACACATCAGTCTTTTTGTGTGCGTGCATGTTTGACTTTAATTTATTTTAATTTGTTCACTTTTTTGTGTGTGGTTAAAAGAAAAACTGTTAGAAAAACAAAAACAAATCTCTCTATATAACTATATATGTGTGTGTGTGTGTGTGTGAACGATGATATACAAAAGGAAATTGCTGGCACAGGCGACTGCAGGGCCGAGGAGACAGACAAAGGGACGTGAATCACTAAGGGGAAGCAGGATGCGTTCAAACATTTGATCTTTCTTTCTGTATTAATATTATTATTAATTATTCTGAGACACTGAGAGAACAGGGAGTCGCTCTTCGCTCGTCCCCGTCTCTCTCAGATGTTGTTCGTGTTCTCGATGACATGTGGAATTGACCAGTAAATATTTGGTCAGTGGGGCGGTCTCAACAGTTCTCTGACATTCTGCTAGCAGCGTTCCACTAGCACCCAAACCAAGCTCAGCCCTTTGTAATTGTACCCCCCTGCAGAGGAATCAAGTTTGTGTGTGGATAGTGCACTTTTATATTAGCTGACCACGGTGATTACGATGATAACTCATAAGCATATTTAAAAATATTTTTGTTACCATTTGCATCTTTGCATTACAATTTTGTTGTGTTGTTAGTCAGAAGCATATCGATCTGTGAGCAGGCGAGGTCGTGATTAACGGCAGGAGAGCCAGGATATGGGGGGGGGGGGGGTCGGACTGACCACAGGAAAAGATGAGTCACTCCGATGCAGAGCGAGGGGAGTGTGTTTTATGTTGACATTTGACAGACCGAAAATGTCTCAGCGGCATTGTTTCCATTCACTTCGGCTGTGGTTGAGCTCCTGTTGTCACGGTTTTTATTTAATATTTATGTGACCTTCCAATGAGAAATTTTAGGGTGTTAATGCACTTTCTAGGTTCATTTTTACCGTCTGAAAAAAAATGATATATATCTTTTAACAGGGAATTTTGCTTTAAAGATGTTGTTTTAGTTCACTTTTGCTTTAATGCACAAATAGATGTTAGTGTGACAAAGAACTGTTGTTCTGTGATTTATTTAAAGACTGGCTTTTTCTTTTTTTCTTTTTTTGCTTCTGTGATCCGACAGTTTTAAAAAAAAAAAAGAAAAGGAAATGGGTGCATCAGAAAGAAGGTGCCCCCTGACGAGAAACACTAATACGGACTGTGATTTGAAATGAACTCTTAAGAAGTTCATGGCGATGCTCACTTACTGTAGAACTAAATTATAAATATGTCAAAGCCATCCTCTGGTTTATATTGAGCGAATATGTTCGACCAAGAAGTGGACACACTGATTAAGAATGATCTTCTGAGCTTGGCATTGGAAAGAAACCATCATAATATAGGGAATAAATATGTGTGTAGATGATGTTCCTCCAGATATTGTTTTGAGAAGAAAAAAAAAGGTTGTACAGTATTTTCCTCTGTAAAAAATAACTATATATGAACAAAATGCTCTTTGATGAACAGCTTCCTTTCAAAAGAAAACCGTTAAGAGGAGAAATGAATAATAAAAAGTAAAAAAATTCAAATAGCCTCATCATAGTTTGCTTGTGTGCGTGACCTTTTTTAATTACCCCAGACTTTTGGGGGGAAAGCTGTGCATACTGTAGCATTGGCAGATTTCGTTATGTTTGCAGTACTTATTGTTTTCTTTTTCCAAACTATGTCAGAAGCTCAAACTAAAATACACTGATTTGAATTAATTCATCGATGTTTCTGTTTTATTTATCAAACACTTTTTAGTCACTGTCATTTTTCCATGTGTGCGCTTTTGTTCTTCCTCATGAATTGAAACCCTTGGTTTATATTGACTTTGCTGTGGGCCTCGTTCTCAGACTGATTGTCTCCGGGGATCCAGAGCGGAGCGGAGGCGTCGCCACGTTTGTTTTTAGTTTCTCATCAGATAACTGTAGGGGCTGGGAGACATCGTGCACTTGAATTCAGTTAGTGTGTGTGTGTGTGTGTGTGTGTGTGTGTGTGTGTGTGTGTGTGTGTGTGTGTGTGTGTGTCTCCCCCTGAGAGAGACAGATAGGCCGCGGCTGTAAGAACACAGACCTGTGGC